AGGCTGTTTTCAGTTGGTTTGGCTGCACTCAATCAAAGGGGTCTCAGACTGGGCCATTCGGTGGCCTTTGCCCTAAAAGTAGTGTCTGTTGTTTGACAAAGGGACTGAGAAAAAGTGTTGTTGTGAATAGCAAAATTACAGGCAAACAGCTACACTGTTGCATGGTGTCGGATTAAGGTTTCGCTTAGAACAGAATACGCAGGGCACAGTAAAATCGGGAGCGATGTTGAAGACGCAATTTTCCCGCAATATCTCAATGGTTGGGAGAGTGACACACACGTAGGTATGGCGTTAAAAACAGGCTACAAGATGCACTCAATGATTAATGAAAATACCTAATGTCTGGTTGTGGATTTGTCATTCAATCTTGCCTGCGCATAAAAGTGTCGAAATTAAGGTTCATTGCCGTTATGCATGAAAACCTTATGTGCTGATTATATTTTATATAATTATATTTACGCTACTACAATTTTTGTCTGTAAAATTTCTTTTTGTTGATTAAAAATTATCATCATGCTTCTACAATGTGGGTTGTCAACATGTACTCAGATTGCAATCTGAATTCAATAATGAAAGGCGTGTCATATAACATAACACACAGGTGCATTGTAATTGCATATCATAATATGTAAGGCATATAATAAAAATATGATTTAATTTTATTAACTATTTACATAAAACATGGACATATTGTATGGCATTTTTCACATGACTTACCTGATGATATTGGAAAAGTTGTTTGGACCTCTTTTTAGGAATTTAAAAACGCATATGCTTTACAATTTTAGTAGTCACTGACAGACAGTAGTCAGCAACAATAAAAGCTTATTTTAAGTACTCACCTTCGCAGTTCACCCCATCATTCTGGGCAGTTCCCACAGCGTAGTACCCCACCACACAAAAACAGTCCCCAATGCTTGCTGACCCTGTTGACTGTGTTGTGCTGTTATGTGGACATTCGTCACAACTGTCAGCAGGTCCGAGTCCGCTCTTGTAGAAACCAACGGGGCACTCTGTTGTTTTTTTTTTTGGGGGGGGGTCGGAATGAATATTAAGTTCGATAAACAGATTAAAAATGTACTAACAAAAACGTATTAACCTTTTGGAATGTCAATTCTGAATTATATATAAGCATGGCAAGGTAGTTTATAATTTGATCCATAAAATATTTTTAGATCTACATCTACACTTTGTAAAGCTTTACTTCTTGCACTCGAACAAAGCAATATTGACTTATCATCAATAATTAAACATACCTGTACACTGTCCTGATAGTCCACTGAAACCTGCTCGGCAATGACATCCCCAAGCGCCAGACAGTGTTTCACATGTGCAGTCAGCGTTGGAGGAACAGGTTTGCGGGCAATAGTGTTGGTTAAAGTAAAGATAGCGGGTCTCGTGGGCATCTATGGAGAAAAACATATCGTTCATACAGCTGTTGGATAGCACTTGAATAGTATCTAATTTGAAGTACAAAGATCATCTTAACCAAAAGTAACTGAACTATAATTGTTATATTTCAGTAAAACATGTACAGCATGGGATGTATAAAAGTCTCATCATTTACTACAATTTATAAATGTACTTCACTCCTCAAATGAGAAATGCAATTAAGTGAGTTGAAAGTAACATCGTTTCATGCCAGTTAAAAAAAAAAGAGTTTCCACTTTTGTCGCAGGCTGTGACGTTTCTGAGGTGTGTCTAACGCAAGGCTTTTGAAATTACGTCTGATCAATTGTATTTCAGAGTTTAAAAATGGATAATAGATAATTGATAGATTGTCATGCATATTTGCAATCAATGAATATCTCACCTCCTCGTATTTCCAGTGCAAGCCCATTGAAGTCATTGAAGTTATTGTACGGATAAACATGCACACCAGCATATGGAGGTGACGCAATGGACAGTAGTTCGGAGTAATCGTAGCTTCCGATGCCAATGGTGAAGATCTCTACTCCTGTTGCCCTCAGTAGTGCTGCCTGAGGACCAGGGATTACATCTCCATTCGAGTGACCGTCGGTCAAAAGCACCAAAACCTAGGTGTTGTGTACAAGAATAAACACGTGTAACCTATGTGCATTAATTACCACGGCGGTCTGTTACTACTATATTCTTTCCCTTTGCTAGAAGCATTTGAATATAAAGCAATTTTGGCCTGTTGTGGACTAGCCGTAAACATTTGAAAATAAACAAATACTATTGTTTTTAATGTTATTTGTTTACTGATTTAAAAAAAAAATCTCGCTCCGAAATTTTATCTGGATTTGGGACGCGAGTCCGTGTCAGTCCTGTTTTTAGGCAAATACCGTTTAAGATTGGCTACGCATATCACCCAAAATCCCCAATTTTTATTTTTCTTTAATTTCTAACCTTTAGTATAGTTATTGCCGACATAAATGTGAAAAAAGGCATTTATCGTACTCAATTGCTCATATTTAAAAATCAATGTCATTTTTTTTAAATCCCTAAGACTAGATTCTAGACAAACCAATTTAGGTCATTTTGAGTCGTCTGTTGGACTCTACATGCTTTCAATCTTAAACGAGTTATGCACACATGAGTATGAGGAATGCTTATTTATGCTGGCTTGTACAAGTATTGCGATCTTCACGGTCACCCACCGTGGCAGCAGTAGCCTCGTTAAATAATCCGTATCCACTACAAAACGATTGCAGACATGTACTGTTCAGGAAATGGATTATATTTGTGAAAATGTTGATTTTTTCTGTCAATAAGTACTCATGAGAAAAGGGGCAGGAAGACCCAGTTTTACTACAATGACTGCGGATGACTCCATTTATAACACCGTTCTGTTCGAATTCCGTCAGATCGAACAAGGTTTGGGTTCTACAGCAGGTGGGGAAATCGTGGCCCCAAGTTGTCCACCGTGTACGTGATAGTGCGATTGAGTACAAAACAATGATACCTCTAATATTGACCTTCCCAGTATCTATTTCGACTATTCTATTTTATACTGCAGGTGGTCCCTTGTCAATAAAAAAGTCAACAGAAACAGAAAATAAAAACATAGTCTTTCCTGATTTTTCGAGTGCCTGTAGGTGCTGACTATACAATAATTGTTTCTATTGTTTTACTTTACTTCTTCGAAACCACGGTACACAAACTACCAAAAAAACATACGTATATTTCTTGTATTCTTGTTTTTTTAGACACTGAAATATTTATTACTGAAAGAATGTTATCTGTATTCAAGAAAGAGATGTTTCCACAAATATTTTTTTTTCTTATCGAACTTTTTCTTGCCGTAAGATTACATTTCTTATAGGTTTCTATAAAAGTTATTTATATTCTGAATCTTATTCTTACTGCAAGTTTTTTTTAGAATATCTTTATGCATGTTCGTGATACAGACAATTGTTCTTTTACAAAGACTATATGGTTCTCAATACAAGCCCAAAATTCTACTAGCCTGGATGTTATTATCCTTTAAGGTTTTCTTACCCCTAGAAAATTCTTATATTATAGGGTACAAATAGATTCTTACTTCATCTTCAACTTGCCTGACATCGAAGTGGTCAGATTTAACATTCTTGTTTTTCTTAGCAACTTTTAAGAAAATCCAAGAATTAAGTTAAGACCATTTCTGAACCCCTGATTTGTTTATTTAGAAACCCTAGAATGCAAGGGGTTTTGAAGAAAAGTCAGATGTGGGAGCCGCTAAGTGCGCAGGCTACCTTTTTGTCAGTTATTGACTCAAGTAAGATTTGAAGCCAATATGGAGGTAAAAGGGAAATTATTTACATGAGAATCAATGATGATAGTGGTCAGCTTGCAGAAGAAACCAACTTTACAACAAAAAAACATGAAACCAAACAGATAGAAGGTAACTTCGCCCCCCTCCTTACCTTACAGATGAATCTTTTGACCTTGTTCTTAGACATTGTACATGACCAAACTTGTTGCCTTCGACAGAAGGCTATGAAATCGTTTTTGCACTGTTTTGGAAATTATGCACGATAAAGTTTGAAGGCGTGGTCCGTGGTTCACGATTTTTGGCAGGCAGGTTGTCTTCGTGATGGGCATTGTGAAGGCCAGAAATGGGCTTCGTGAGGGGGGGGGGGGGTATTACGTGACTGGAGCTGACCTTTTGTGTTTGTGTTTTTTGTTGTTCCCTAGATAAGTCGGGAATCCTTAAGTGGTTGTCTATGATTTTCAGTAGGCAAGTCGCCGTTGAGAATACAGAGGCCAAGTTCGGATATGGGCCTCGTGGGGGAGTTCCCATGTCATTGAATTTGACCTTTTGTGCTGGTCGTTATATTTGTTAGCGTGATAATTCGAGAATATGCAAATGGATGTTCACGATTTTTTGCGAGCAAGTTACCATTGACGATGGCAAGATCAAGTTCTGTATTGGGCGTCGTGGGAGGTCCGTACGTTACTGTAGGAACACTAGTTACTTTAAATTTGGAAAAGACACCAGCAACCCAAAGTATGAAATTCCAGGCAGTTAGCATTATGGAATTATTACATTTTTATTAATTATGCAAATTAAGTGTTAATTTACATAATAAATATCTGCCTTTGTTTGTCTCGTTCTCAATTAAATGTCACAAGCTTGAATAGTCATATAATGTAATGCAGCTGATTTATAGAATTTCGCCATTAATTATGCAAATTACATCAAGATGCAAGCATTACGTAAGCTACCTACATACCAAAAATCACGACGATCCGTCCACCGGTTCTTGAGTTATCCTTTTTTGAATATTTTCAAACAGATAGCCCTGAAGTTCCTGGGCAAGCCGCTAGGGAGCCAAAACTCACGTCACTTCTTTCCCAGCAAAAGAGCTACCTACCATTCACATTTCGTTACCCCAGCATGTGTAGATGATGAGATATCAAAACCGAAATATTGGTGGCTTCCTCTAATTGGAGGCCAACAATGACTCCTTTTACCATCCTTTTACCACCTATAAAAAACTCATCTGTTTTGCCTGTTTTCCTCAAATAAACATAGGGGACCTGTTAGCCGCAAAACATCACCTAATGGATACGGGCACCGAGCAGAGAGTCCACACAGATCACAAGTATTTAGAGGCCAATAACAGGTCAAACCATGAAAAAGGTCACACTTTTTGGCCATATTTCAAAAACATACATTCTTCTGTCCTTCTTACCAAAAAAACAGGGCCTTTCTGAGCAAAATTTGCCCAGGAAAAAAATATCTAAACAAGGAAAATCTGAGAGTTTATACCTCCGGGTTGTTTATTGTATTTCCATATGTTGTTTGCTATATGTGTAGTTGATGGTGTTATATTTGTGTTAGGTGTTGGATATAAATTTTGGCACAACTTCTGTGCCCAGATACGGTCCAGTTATTGTATTACGAATAACGCACTCACCAGTATCCATCATAACAAACCCCGTATACTGGTAACACCGACATCTACACAAAATTTACTCAACCCGGTGGGAAAGATGTGTATGATTAATGGCTGATGATACGTAGGAGGTACAAGAGTTTACAAGAGTTTAATGTAGGCAATGTACGCACGTATGCAATTTACAAACACACATACTAAGAAAGCAAAACAATGTGCACCATCTACAGCCCAATAGCAAACCGTATACCAAGTCCCAGAAATATCCGTCCACCCAAGCGCGAGAAACAGCTGCGAACGTGAAAATCTACATCTCCCACAAAACCCTTCCGCGGAAGGATACTAGTATATCCTACCCCGGAGGTAAAAAAAAGTACCAAAATAAATCCTCCCCTTATAGCATTGCTAGCTCTGTTCTTTGGGCATAGCAAAAAAGACCAATTTTACACAATTTTATAGTAGTGTATGCCAAACTATGTCTTGTTCATTTGGCATTGGCCTAAGACACATCTATAACAAATTTCAGGTGGTTTGGTTTTAATACAAGGGCATAAAAGCATTTTGTCTGGAAAGAGCAAAAAAAAAATAATTTACACAAATTTGAAGTAGTGTTTACACAAAATGTGAGTAAAGTTCTTTGGGCATATGTCTAAGGCCCTCCTATACCAAATTGTAGGTCATCTGGTTGTAATATAAGGTCACAGGAGCCAAAAATGTACATTTTTGTCTGAAAATAGCAGAAAAGGCCTGTTTCACACCATTTTCAAGTGATATATGCCAAAGCAGCAAATGTCATTCTTTGAGCATATGCTCAAGGCACCCCTGTACCAAAAGAAGAATTCTACATTCCGTATTTCCGTAGAAAGACATGGTACAAGCTAGGTAAATAGTATGTTGCTTCGTTCACAAAAAGACTCTTTGACCACTATAACTACAATAATCATCTTCAAAAAGCCTACACTATACATACACACAACACCCACCAAAACAACATCCCACTGTAGAAGGCATGAGCCCTGCGAACTCTAGTTACTTGATTTTCAAGTCAAATCATACACTACCAAAAATGCTTTTTCTTGTTTTTCTTATGGGAAGAAAATTTTTCTTTGGGGGAGAAAAATAAGAAAAATTAATTTTCTGTATACTTTCTTTCTTGCACCAAGAACAATTTTCTCATTTTTCTTTAGAAGAGATAATTTTTCTAGAATAGGTTTCTTCAAATCATGATTAAGAAATATTTTACAGGAGATTCTAAGTACAAGATTAAAAGAATCTCCTGTCAAATTTGGCAAGACATTTAAGATGTCTAATTCTATGATTAGAATAAAGTCCTGCGTAGTATTTCTTTCTTTAAGTTTCTTGTTTTTCTTGACTAGAAAGCTTAAGAAAGAACACTCTTGTTTTTCTTAGCAACATGTAAAAAAAATATAAGAAAATACAAGAATTTAAGTTTTTATCTTTCTTGACGAACACTGATAAACAAGAAAGATATAGAATCTTTAATTAAGCTGAAGATATGGCTAGTATTATATTCTTAAACATTCTTGATTTTTTTTCCCTAGAAAGTTTAAGAAAGGCCATTCTTGTTTTTCCTAGCAACATTTAAGAAAATACAAGAAAGTTTAAGATATATGATTCTTATTTTCCTTGGTAATGTTCAAGAATGTAAGAACATTTTCTTAACTTTCTA